TATATTGAGAGTAGCAAAGAAAGTAGACCAAAAGGAGCAAGATAATGGTACTAATCTCTGTAGGTCTCAGATCGTGATATATTTGATCATTTGTTTTTGATTGTTTTGATCCCTATCATCTATGTAAGCCCAGACAGCGGTGAGGGTGACTATGACCTCAACTCGTACTGACATATACTTATGAMTAGGTCTTTATGCTTCTAAWTTGGGAAATGCCGTATTTTTAAAACTTGCTTTTGTTTTTGCTCAGTCATTTCTCAACCCTTCTACCCCCTCCTAAAAATTATTGCTGTTTTTGGCTATATTCGGCTCTGTATAAAAAAATGGAAAATGCACGCTTCGCTTGACCTATGTTATCACTGATTTCACAAGAATCCCCGGCATGAATACTTTCCAAGCTAAATTATATCGCCTTTTTCTGACAAAGAGTTCTAAGCAGCTAACTATATGAAGCTGAGAAGTCAGTGATACAAAGCCAATATTGTCAGTGGTCAGAGCTTCATGTTTCTCTACTATATCTTGTACATGCGATGTTAGCCATACCTACTTCTAGGTCTACTGGACGTGTTAATGAGGTTCATATAGTACTAAACAGCTGTCTACGGTTTTTAGGGGGATCTAGTTGAGCTGCATCATCTTATTATGTGATTTCAAGAAGTTGTCAAATTTGCCAAATCGCCAATAGCTTTATTTTTTGATTGAGTTGCTGTGCCAGTCACTGCGGTGAAAATTAACGAGAATACYAGAATATTCTTATARAAAGTACAGTGGCTCTCAAAGCAATTTCACCGGAAGAAAAGTGATCAATCATTGAAACGTTGACTTACCTTATATGACGACCGAGAGCAGGAAGTTGACTGGACAAGTTTATGTACACTTATTCAGTCGGGGAGAACAAAGCAGTGATTGTCGAACAGAGATTGTATGACCGAAAGGCACTATGGTAACGGTTATGGTCATAGTTGGGATGGGGGCTGAAGACTCTAGTTGGTGCAAGAAGTTTTTTTTGGTCTTCAGGCGCGCTTGCGTCAGAAAATGCAGGGCGTATAATTTTGTTGTTGGTGTTCAG